TCGCATTGAGTATACACTTCATGTATTTTAGCACATCATATTTAACACGAAATATTAAACGTCATGCAGGCACTTGACAAAAGTTCAGTTATGTTTGTGTACATTGACCTTACTTAAATCCGTTTGTTTTAATTATGCAACCCCTTTTTTCTTTAAAAAGGTTGAAAATTATCATTTTACTGTCCTTTTTTTATAACCAAAAATGTTTTGTAATCGTACATATAAAATAGCTCCATAAATTTTATTCTGAACTAATACAAACATATTAATGATATCAATATGTTCTTTGTGAAAGTTTCGTATCAGCGTATAGTCGCCAGTTTAGCTTTATTATATGTGTTTTTATTTTGCTATTCTACAGTGTCGACAACCATCGACATCATGGACCTGTTTGAAGAGATACCAAGGGATGCTACTTCTTTAAAATCATGGTATAGATAGTACAAATGGACAATGATAGGAAACATGGTATCTTATATTATTCATTATGTTTCTTAACGGTGTATTATTGTGAACTAATACACACACACAACTATTTTCATTTTCATTTATTCTATTTAATTATCTCATGCATACCTATCTGCTTAAAATTCCAAACTGATCTATAAAAACAGATCAAATTCCATGTTTCAAAGCTTTTGCATCTCAGTGGAGTATATTTAAATCGGTTACACGGTCAAATATCTGTTCTACACCCACATTGCGATATCAAAGGAAAAACAAACGGAATCTGTACTGGTGTTTTCATCTTTTTTAATGAAAGTTCCGTTGGCATATGCAATGCTTCACTGGTTAATCGGATATTAGGATCCCATATGAAAACCTTAAAAAGTTTTTTATTTAATTATTTATTTTCATTCCGATCACGGACGTTAGATTTATTTTCTAAAAATTCATACAAGATCTATCTGTGGCTTCTTATATATCGTCGAATGTCAAACATTTGATCCTGGCCTTATTTGATCCGAACCTTAAAGACATTATTGTTGTGTTTGTGGTACTTTTAGATTTTACTTTTCGGCATTTGTTTAGTTGGATGGTTCCAATATTTCTACTTGAATAATTTTGAATCACCCTTAGGATATGTTGCCTGCTTTTTAAATTTGTCTTTTGCCGTCATGTCTGTGATATACAGGCTTCATAACCTCTGATCCTCTTTCAAAATTTCATTTTATTTAGTTTCGCCAATTGTTTTCTCGTTTAGGGCACACGCATTCTTTTACTTGGGGACCTTACGCCGCTTTTCACGGAATGGCACGAACTTGTCACATTGAAGGTTCTATGATAACCGCCGTATGAATACATCTGCGGATGTTTCTAAGTTAAAAATTTCACCATTACCATGATTAAATGTTGAATTCTGTTTAAGCCTGTGCTACGGGGCGTGGACGGTAACTTGCATTTTCCATTACAGTCCATGAACAGGCTCAATCAAACCGAGCCGGAAACTTTTTCAATTTTGTCTTGTTGGTCTTTCGTTAGGGATTCTTTATTTCTCTCTATTTCTATTTTAATTTAACATTGTTTTATGTTTATGTCCCGAAAGTTTAAGGAGATGTCAGACATGACAATGTTAGATTTTTTTTCACAATGTAATACATTATTATTTAGTTGAAACAATATCTTACAATCTGAATATATGATATGATAGGAAACTTTTAATCATGAAAGCCTTTGAAATGATATAAAATGCAAGGTTATTGTACGGTATATTTCATTTGTTTATCTATTCATGATATGGAAAACCTTATCTGTTTGATTTATATATGAAATTAATGACACGTAATGGTTTGATTTTGTCAGAAGAATATTTATTCTTGGAACATATAAATCACATAGAGCAATAGGAGATTACTATTGTTTTTGTCTTGACCTACAACGATTTTACTAAAATAAGGCAAGGTACGCATGTACTATTATTTCATCTAATGTTATAATTCTATCAAGGGATGTCTGACAAAGAGATTTATTGAGATTCAGTCGGATGAAAAAGGACCACACGTATACTAAATCTATGTATTACTTCGAGGTTTTCCTTTCATAGGACCATAACTGTCGTGGAATTAGAAGTGTTATTCACAGTTTTGATAGTGTTGTGTTTCGAAAGTTATTTTGTGCTATTTAAATGTTGTAAACTTAATGTAATTTATTAATACGTTGTCAAAATTCATCGTTAACGTAAATACTTCCACTAAATCGAAACAAATAAAACCCATTGAACATCCTGGATTAGTATTCTTTCCGTAGCCTGTTATTTGATTTGTAAAGAACAAGGTTACACAGCGCAACATTGAATCATTGCTTTAAATAAATCCAGTTATTTTTGAATAGGTTTCGTAAAACAAATACATTTTATGATTTCTTTTAACAAAAACTTGCTTAACGATTTCTTTAACAAATGAAATAAAAATGTTAAAGTTTATGTTACATAACAAAATGATGTAATAAAGCACTACATCTTGCTTACAATTGCCGTTGTTTTCAATATGGACAAGGATAACCTACAAGCGACATAAACTTGCCATTTTATATACACCCTGTTCACTATTGTTGTCAATAGTTTAAAATCAGTGTGTCAATTTTCTTAAAATAAGAAGACAGTGTTCTGCTCTTGCTTTAAGTCATTTAGTCAAATGTCTTAGTTTATAGGAAAAGAGATAAAACTTCAATTTAATTTAGACATTACAGTCTATATACATGTTTTGCTCCATTGCAAGGAAGATAAATGTTGTTTTTTTTCTACACAACATCAAAAGTTAAGATTTTTTAAAAACAAAGCTACAGTACAGTCTTCACATCATATGGCGCCACGTTTGTAGTCTAGTTCCATTAAGAGCTTTATATTGTACTTTCCATGTTTCAGATGGTAGAATTGTTTTTTTCTTTTCAATATTTGAGATTCCAACAACTTTTTATTTAACGAAGAGCACCTTTCATGGAAGAGTATTAAACTATTTTTCTTATCCTTATAACAAAATATACATGCATCTGACTGAAGCAAAATACAACATTGATATATCATATTAATGTTTGATGGGAAAACTTCATATAAAATAGTATTGGCCGATTGTTATCAATCAAAATCAGTTTTAGTGTTGTTATTTTTGAAATAGATTAAAAGAATTTAATCTAAGAACTAGCCTTTTCAAATACTCGTACTAATTTCTTTTAGCAAAATGTAACCAGAAAAATAGTATAGTGGAGGTTTCCGTATATTTGCGTTAAGTTTACTTTTAAAGAGGCTTAGGGTAGGGCTAGATTTAGCATCTTCAGACAGAGTATTTCAGCCTCTTAATACCGAGGGTAGGAAGGAGTAAGTTTATAGTTGAGTTCTAGCATGTATGTTAGGAGTGCCATTTGTGTCTCGGCATTGATATCTTGTTTGTGTTTATTGTGTTGTTTGAGCTAATTCTTTTGCATTCAAATTTTGTCAATTGGAGACAATTCATATATTACATCCCTAATAATATCAAACTGATACCTTTATTTTAAGGATATTTTCCTTCTACATTAATCTATAGTAATATCCCTTGTTTAAAAACATTAAGATTAAATACAGAAAAGTTTAAGTCATGTTTTTCATTTTTATGAAACAGACAACAAAAAAAGCCATCGTTACAACTTTTTTTTAAGTGTTGAAAATTGAGCCAGTGCTAGAGTGCTAGAGGGATGATATACTGTTTCTGTACCCCTTATGTACAGACACACTCAAATCGAGTCTTTAGTGTTCATGTTTTTTGGTAATAAATGTTTTCTAACCCATTTCCCAGATTTCCTTTTCTGGTGAAGGAAAAGTTATAAAATTCATTTTTGTAAATATATAGCAGTATGTGTATCAATTGATTATATCTGAACAGTGTTGTGCATGATTAAAGATATGCATTTTCACTTAGCTTTGGCAGACAATAGATTTGACTTAATACGATTTTATTTGTTTGATTAATTTTACCATTTCCTTACAATATATTTCTATAAAAGTAAGCATTTAAGTTGGTCATTAGATACAAATTCATCCTTTGATAAGTTCTTTACTTCCTAGCATCGCATGATTGATTGTAATTTAATGTTATTTATCTGAATGCTTTATTATTTGCCATAACATAATTACACAATCGTCTTGACGGAGTTTTCTTATCACCATATATTTATGTTTCTTCTTTTAGAATTGAAGAAGCATTAAATTACAAAATAATGTGAAATTATATAAGCATTGTGGTAGTTAAGGTAGTTATTCACTCTAACAACTTAAGTGCCATTAAGAAGGGATTTTGAAGGTAACCATATATCACCAAGGCAAAAACATAAGGTTTTTGAGAAGTCAATGGCTTTCGAGATTCAAGTAAATCGAGTTTTATGCACTGAAGATATGTTTCCGTTCTTGTTGAAGCAATATATATTAAATAACTGGATAAGAGATGTATCTCTTTAAAACACACACAAGTCATTTGTTGTATAGTTGTTGTATAGTGCATAAGTACGCATACCTGTTGCTAGTTTTAATTATTAAAGACATTTTATTTGTAAACATACTGTTACAGTATTGATTTTGACCCTCGATATGTTTTGATTGTAAAGTTTCGGACGTATTGTCCGACAACATTGACCTGGCACCTCATTAACTTTCGTAAAGGTCATTGGATAAACACTGGTACCAAATATATCGATATATTTGTTAACCGCATACGTCAATGAGATTTGGTGTATTGGTATAGATGCCGGACTACCGATATGAAGGTCTCTGGTTCGATTCCTAGCATCAGTGTATTTTTTTTTCTTTTTTATTGCAATAATTAATTTGAAAATGTGTTGATACGTCTGGTTTTAAGGTGCCTTTTAAGATTATACAAATATATATATTTTTTATTTCATTGCAATATCTTAATTACAGAGAACGGCACATTTAAAATACAAAACAATGAATTGACTAGTCAATTTCACTGGTAGTGTCTGTAGTACTGCCTATACTGGCGGTTTCCGTCTCTGAGATGGAGTCTTCACTAGAAGTACCGGCAAGGTTTATTATAATTGTCTCCATGTTATGGTCTCTGTAGCAGTCATGTGTCTTGCTTTTCTCTATCACCTTTTCAACATGGTCACATGCTCATCGCCATCTCTCTTCGGTGATCTCACCGAAAGCTGCATCGGCCAACTTCAATAAGACATCCAATCTGAAATATATTTTAAATATGCCATATTTCAGTAGACAACGACGTAGATCTGTAACAATATTGTTTTTTAATTTATTATATAAGTAAATAAAGTCTTAAAATCTTACATTTTCACACGTTTCGAGACAATAAGCATTACATTATATTTCTATATTTCTAATATAGTTCATTCTATAGCTTACGTACCTGAATGTCATATTTCTTACACGGACGATGGACTTCAGCTGGGACCATATTAATTCAATTGGATTGAAATCAGGGTGGTAAGGTGGTAGTCGGAGGATCTCGTGACCATGTTGCCTAATGATGTCATCGATGACGTAGGTTTGGGCAGGTCTGTTCAGATTGACTAGTTTGAGTAATACAGTCTTCACCATGTCGTCGCTGAAATTCACCCCATGTGCCTTTAACCATTCCTGTTAAATAGAATGAAAACATATAATGAAACAACATGCGGCAACAAATGTATTTTGTGAATGACAAAAAATACATTAAGTTATAAGAACTGCATGTACCTTAATGAAATCTTTTCGTGAAGAACTGGTTGGGCATCTGTCAGACTGCACTGAGTGATAACTGGCGTTATCCATCACGATGGCGCAGTGTGGAGGCAGGTTTGGTAACAACTTTTCCCGTAACCACTTCCCAAATGTGTCACCGTTCATCTCAGAGTGGTAGTCACCGGAAGACGCAGATGCTTTGTACATGAGTCTGGTTCCCGGTACAAATCCGTTCCTTGATCCAGCATCAACCACAATAAGGCGTTGACCTTTGTTGAGGGGGCGCTTTGCATCTCTGAGATTCGGGCCTTGCCAACAACTCTTGCATGTGTATGAGGTGTCTAACCATGTTTCATCAACATAAATAAACTGGAAGTCTCTTTCTTCCAACAGTCTTTTCCTCTCACAAAACGCCATCCTCTGAGCAACAACTTTGGGCTTTTCTGTAAGAATCTTTCTCTTGTCAGCCGTCCTCTTCCAGCTGTAGCCCATGTCGCGTTGTGTTCTCCTGAGAAGTTCCCGACTGCCAGGATACTGGGTGGTTTTTCTTAGTACATCGTGTAGTTTCTGCATTGTTGGATACTGGCGACAAACATCGTAAAATTCTTGCACCTTGTTTCTTATCACTGATAATTCAAAATTGTTCACAGGTTTATACTGGCCGCGGCATGAAGGGCGTTTTGGTGACGCCAGCACCTCTCTGTCTCTAGATTCTTTCCTGTATCTAAATACAGTTCTCCTGCTGATGCCACATAATTCTGCCGTCCTGTTGATGAAGGCGTTTCCTTTTAGACGGGTTTGATTTTCAGAAAAGACCCTCCGTTAAGAGTCTAACGGCATTTTTTAGTACAAGCAGGTAGTCAATCGTTTTTACATAATTCGGGTACGCTGAATCCATTTTTTGCTCTACCACGGCTGTACTTGAAGTCCTTGACCTTCAAAAGGTCAAATCAAAATGGCCGCCATTGTCCTTTACCATCTACTTAAAAAAATATTTTTTCTGGTACATATCGTATCGTATTTCCGTTAATCTACATGGAATAAAGTTTCAATTACTTTAAGGAATAATTGGCTGATAATTATACATGCTTTACACATTGACTGCTATGCCGGCCATCTTTGATTTCAAAATGGACACCTTTTTAATAAATATAAGTAAAGTGTTTTTAAACAAATGAATCCTTCTGTAGGAATGAGTATCAAAAATTGAATAATGATATGAGCAACATGTCATGTCGAATTGTACACACTGTGTAGGTATACTGCACACTTTAATTTACATAATTACTTCAAACTATCACAGCTCATTCTTTTGGACAATTAATCTATATCAGGTATCTGATATCCAAAATGTCTTACATAAAACCTGCACATTTTAATTTACCATTAGATGTTTAAGTAATCTTTATTTTGATAGAATAGCATTTGTGTAAACCTTTATGGACACTAGATCATTTTATAATTTGAATGCCAAGAGTCAAAGTCAGTATGTAAATATTTTAAAAAATTGTCTGTCATCTTCACAGGTCAGCGACTATGTCTTTGAGCCGCATGTCTTTGCAACAATATCTTTTGTACGACCCAATTTCAAATAGAAAAAAACAACAACAACAGAATCTCAAAACAGCGATCAAATCGGCAAAATTGAAAACGTTTTAGGCTCGATTTGATTGAGCCTGTACATGGACGTTACTGGAAATTGCACAGTACCGTCCATACACCCTAGCACCGGCCTACGCAAAATTCATATATCAAAGGGGGGAATTGTGGGATTTGGTATTTAGAAACATCCGCAGATGTGTTTATACGATACTTTTTATTGTTGTATTGATATAGCTACTTTATAAAGGTTCGTATTTATCAATCAAACTTTAAACATGCCTACACATGGTAAAAACAGATCATCTATTTATTAATTGAAATAAACTCAAATAAACGGTAAAGTCATTTTAATCTTTATAATCTTTCATCTTGAAAAAAAGTCTCGCAAACATGAACCATAAACAGTCTACGAGCTTGCACTGTCTTAAGGTTAATGAATAATATAGAGTAAAATATTATAGGTCTACCGCTATATTTGATGATAGTACATTGTAGTACATGCATAGAAGATTAGACAGTTAATTGATACCAATTCTGCAATTAATATATTGACGATTCACTGCTGTTTACACTTTTTATTAACACAGTATGACTTGATTGAGCATTTTGTTTTTTTTACTAAATTATGTAAAATATATGCTGTCGAAAAAATAGATCAATACAGAATCCCTAAAGAAAGCCCAACACGGCAAAATTGAAAATGTTGCAGGCTCGGTTTGATTGATTGATTTGATTGTCGAAGCCTATGTCTTTAAATTTTATTTACTTAACTGAAAATACGAGTTTTTTTGCGTTTTGTCTTAATTCATTGGTATTTATTCATTGTCTTAGTTAATATCAACGTCTACATTATAATTATGTCACTTTGCCAAGGACGCTGCACCTTATTCAATCTCATGTTTTAAAATCATTCAAGTGACTAAGATATATTCAAATCTTCATACTTGTTTTGTTCTTGGCTATCTTTTAAGAAATTGATGAGTATCTTATTCCATTATCATGATATAACATATTTTTGATATCATTTTATCTCATATTTTTCAACTATCACCCCATAAAATTACTTTGGTATTTCTTAGTGTAATTTTAGTCACTAAAATTTGTACCAACTATTTGTGTACACGGAAACATCGGTGCCGACTTGTTTCTTTTACACACACATCCGTTAGAAATGGTTCCTTTTCAAAAGCAAGAAGACAAAGGGATTGTTCAATAACGGCGCTCAATATAATTTTATTATAATTGTGATATCAATATCGCTGGGTCATTTTATTTTACAAGGTGATAAAGCAGATGAGATTACGTTGAAACCGACAGTTAATATTTCTTGAAGTATTATGTAGTAAATTATTTTTATTTATTTTTATGTTTTTCATACTTTTAGTCCCATTATGTCAAATGGCAAACGCTTGTATATTATAGTATTTAGATAAAAAAAATTTATTGAATAATGCAGCAAGATAAACCCTATCAATTGATCTAAAATAGGAATTAGGGTAATACAATTCTGTTGAATATGGAGTGGCTTATGATATAAATTGATTTTGATTGTTGTAAAATCCCTATACAACTAGATCTAAAAGTCAAAATCGATTTACCTTTCAACTTGATAGCAGGTCTACTTTACCACTGAAATCGATGCATGTCCAACATCCTGTAGAAATATACATATTCATCGATATACATCGTAAAAGATATAAAAGGATATTCTTTTATTCATTAGGCAACTTAAAGTCAAAATCACAGATGATTGTTGTATAATTCTGAACTTTTAAATAAATGCTTTATTATTAAGTGAAGCTTATGAATGTTATTCTAATTTCTTAACTTGACATTAACAACAAGGACAAGTTACTATCCTGAAAATGCCTGAATGAGATTTTTTCTTTGTTCTGTGGTTGTTGTTCTATCAGTTATTGTTTTTATCAAACAATACAAGTATGTTTCTCGTTTGATAAAATATTAAATTTACTTCAACTTTCGCAAACGGTATTATTTTATGTCTATTACATCAAGAGGGAAATACATTACTTATAATAATCAATTGCAAGTAAATCCAACCCGGGATTATGAGTGTGCCATTGCATTTTGTAACTTTTTTCAGGAGAGCGAATTTGTCATAAGTCTTAAGTTTACGACAAAAGATAGGACAGTTACTTGAAACGGTCTTAAGTGCAAAAACGTTTTCTTCTAAAGTTTGTCATAAGTCCTAGTATAAAGGATTAACCTAGGACTCTCCATGTAACGCAGCCCAGAATCCTTCACCAACAAGAATTGGATTAACTTCACTTACGGGAAAAATCATCATAACGTAGAGTGTGACTGTTCTTGTTTAGTTTAAATTATTGCAATGATAATCATGACTGTTTGTTATAATGCTATAATATGCCCTTAATTGAGGACCAAATGGCGTCTTTTTTCCCAAAATGTCCTGTTTTCCTAAACTTATCACAGGAAAAAAGCATTATAAGACGGCTAGTCTTTTCTTTCATACGTTTACAATAAAAAAAACTTTTAATCATAAGGAAGCAAAAAGTGGAAATAATTCTTAAGTAATACAAGCCAACATTTGCGAACAATGATTACATGTACGTGAGTCGAGATATTATCACACAAATTATATCTGATTTCTGAAAAACACCAAAAACATTTTCCAACAAAAAGACAATAATACAATGAAAGATATTTAATTTCTGTAAATATAAAAACTTACGGAAATGAAGATTATTATTGGAAAGAGAGTATGCTGAATAACAGTTTCTTGTCAATTCAATAAAGTTGAAATATTTGGAAAATGCCTGGTGTCATCGGGGAACATCATTTATGTTGAAAAAAAAATTTAAAATAAAGAGTAGAAAATTAGAAACAAGTTACAAGTAAGAGTGTAAGTTACTGTTTTAAGATTATAATTTCTACCAAGAATATTTGAAAGTCGTATTCCTGTCTGTCTCACGTATTATAAGCGGCAACATTTAACAAGGTCGGTGTAAAGATTAATAAATATTTCTTTGGTCATCTTTATGTATAGGTGTACCGGTATTTGCAATATGATAAGCGATTGTAATTAAGAAAGTATTCACAAATGTTTATAATGAAGAAGATTTTTTTTAGAAATGGTTGCTCAAAAACTGCAACGTTTGCATCCAACTCACAAGTGTTTCCATTGCATTTTATTATAAGCAGTTTTTATTTGTTTGGGTCGTCAGACCAAACAAATAATGGTAGCGAAATTTCAGAGTCTAATGCTGTTAATTGCAAATGCCTAAAGTAGTCCACATTTTTGAAGCGGTTACTTCCCTTTATATGTACACTAACGCCGAAAAATTCAGGGGAGATCAATGCTTAAAGATTGTCAAATGACAGGCGCATTAATTTTCAAGCAAAGAAGTTCCCGAATGGTCGAAGATTTCTAATATTGTTTCATTCTTTATAGATATATATGCTTACAGTAACAAGCTCCATTATTATTTACATCTGTGTTTAGCGTCAAAATTTTATTGTTGATGTATCCGACTTGTAAATAAAATTTACTTGACTTGACTTGACTTGAATAAGTTACAAACCCTAATTTAGAATAATATGGTTTTCTTCGGGCTATTTACATCTAACTTCACCGTGGCCGAGGGGTTTGCACGCTCACTCATGAATCGAGAGGTCTCGAATTCGAATCCCAGTTGAGGCAACTCATTTTTTTTTAAGTCAAATAAATATTGAATTGACTATCAGTGTTGCAATTAGTCTTATAGCCAATTCACTACAGTTAAAACATAGGAAAGCATTGGTGGCACTTTACAAAAACAAATTGGTTTATAATCTCACAACCTTCACCTTTCTGACATTCTGAGACCCAAACAAATTCAGCGCCTTCTGTGCTTTGATTATTAAATATCCTCCCAAAACTGATATTTAA